TAAGTAAAACTCTTTCATTTAATAATCAACAAGCAAAATGTACTTAAAGTGTCTAAAGTAAAATTAGTCAATGCAGTATAATGTAACTATATCCAGTTACAGTAAATAATTGAACTATTCTTACTAATGTGTGAACCTAAATTGCTGTTGTGTTTGTGGGAAAGGCCATTTTGATTCATGCATAAAAACTCAATGTGGACGATTTTATTATTATTATTATTATTATATAGAAGTTATTTCAATGAATTGCTGGCCATCATAAAATAATTACGTATAAGTGTGAAATCTTATTTTATAAAGTGAATAGAAACAGCTGTTATATAAATGTTTGGAGTAAAGAAATTCAATATATCCTCTGAATTATGATGGAGTGTCATGAAATGCAAAGGACCTCAAAATAAGTACTGCAATTGAGTAAATGTGCTTTACACCACAATGATCCTCCGTGCTAACCGTTTGTAAGTTAGGCTGATAACATCAGCAGGGTATTTTTCTGAGTCTGTGTAGTCTCTGCAGAGCCATAAAAAGCCTTATTAAACTGCTTTATTAAGTTGATTAGTACTCCTCATGACAATAAACGTATTTGTTTCAAATCTGGAGTTCCCCTTTGACAGAACATTTGAATACTTTGGGATGTCTAACTAGTGTTTTGGTTCTGTCCTATTCACCTTTTCCTCTGACTAAGATGTTTGAGGTGTGGCTCACTCCGACAAGTGTGTCAGCTACTTCCTGTCTGGAGAAAAATCCATAGAAGAAGACGGAAGTGACTAGCTTTGTGGAGGAAAATAAAGAGATTGACATCTAGTCCTCAAAACATTGCATTGTTGGGCTCAGACTCTGACAGCAAGCATTCAACTACTGAATACTTTAGCTGATATTTGTTTCAGGAGTTTCCCCCAGGGACTGATTTGACCTAGAGAGACATGAGAAAAATGCTCAGGCCTGCAATAAGATCTGTTTCTTTGCTGCGAGCCAGATTGTTATAAGGAGCAGAATTTATAAATCAAAAACAGGGTTTCCTAACAAACTCCGCTCAATTCTCACAGCTTTTTATGTGCACTCCACTTCTAGGCTGAAATTGATTTTTCCACACAGTATCAGTTGCAATGTAGGCTCCACCTGAGCACTTTTAAAGTGTGCGTGCGTGTGCGTGTGTGTGTGTGTGTGTGTGTGTGTGTGTGTGTGTGTGTGTGTGTGTGTGTGTGTGTGTGTGTGTGTGTGTGTGTGTGTGTGTGTGTGTGTGTGTGTGTGTGTGTGCGTAGGTGTGTGTGTATCTTTTAGCTGGATAACTGCAGCTGCAGCTGAGTGCCATGAGGGTGATAGTGGGGGTTGCTGGTCTGTGGGAAGGGGAGGAGGAGGACCTCACATTTAGCTACCGTCCCTTGGGAGAGATTAAGCAGTTTAGTCTTTGCTGTGTCTCTCTCTATCACTGCCACCGCCTCCTGCTTCTCCTCTCTATTCGGAGTGTACCTTTACTGTCATCCTGCTTTTGCACTTTCTGTTCCCCTCTTCTACTCTCATTTCCTCTGTTCCTTTACTTGCTTTCTTTACCATTCATCCTGCCTGTTGAGCTCTTTCCGCCAGACTGTTTCTATTTTACACCCTTCTCCCTTTTCTCTTACCCAACCCTCTGACCCCGAGACATCCAGCTGATTCTCTCCACCGACAGCCCAGATGGCACAAAGCTAGTGTTTGTGGTTGGATGTACCCCCCCCCTCTCTGTCCCAACTCACCGATAGGCTGCTTTGGCCGGGCCGTCCCACTGAGCTAAACCTCTGGTCCTGCGTGGAGCACCACAGGGCTCAACCACTACTCACATTAATCTCCTAAACGATCCTGGACCTAAGAGGATCAATACTCATTTTCAGGGAGCAGCATGATCCCTTAATGTAGTGGAGGATGGCTGCTTATCCCTCACTCTCTCCCCCCCTCCCGCGCCTCAGTTTCAACTCCCCATAGGAAGAGCAGGAGTCAGCCTTTCATTCTATTTCATGGCCCACTTTATTTAAGACAATATCTTGATTTTACTGCCAATGTCGTTATTCAGGTGAATAGCACCTGTGCGTCCTCTTGGGGGAGACTTTTCCAGGCCTTCACGATAATAAAAACTGCCTCTCTTTATTAGCTGAAGTAGCAGTTTTAGTGAGGTACCCATTTTTATGATTGGAGATCAATGTCTTGTAATTGACTTATCTGACCCCGCATTCTTTCAAATCATAGAGGGGTCATCGGGAATCCTGCTCGTTTCTAACAACCTCACCACCTCCATGTATTTCTCATTTGTTGGACTTTGCTCTGGTACAAAATACACAGCGATTTGCCAGAGAAAATAAATCACACTGTTTCAATCCAGTTCCTGAAACACAGCAGAGATGTCTTCAGGCTATTTCGTACGAGTAGTGGTCGTATAATTGTTATTCTTTGTTTTCCACAGACGCTGAAAAATGACTTCATGCTAATAGCGGGGCATCCAAGGAAAATGGGAAAGCCCTGACTTTCCATTGGATAACAAGCATCCTATTTTTCCAGGCTCTGTGTCGGGGCACACCGCTATACGACTGCACGGTTAGCCGAGCGTCTCCTCATTGATCTTTGCTGATGTCGACGGTTTCTGGGGCCTTTTTCATCAGGGGAAGGCAGAGACAAAGTCTGGAAGCCCTCCCCTCACCATATCCCTCTCAGGCAGGCTGTCTATTGGTGGAAGAGGCCACCTGGAGCAAGTTTGGAGGTGTTGTTTATGCTAAAGCTATTACTCTCTGTCTGAGCAGACTGCCCTGAGAGCTGGTCTGCTACTGAATTATTCAGCCAATAGATCTGCCATCCTATGAATACAAGCTGTCAAATGTAGTTGAATGATGAAGAGATTCTCCAACAATGAGGGGTCCGTATCCTTGAGTATAAATGCTTGATATGTAGATTTACCTTAAGGCTACATGCTTGTGACATAATATCTAACTTAAAGGTGGGGTAGGTAAGTTTGAGAAACCGGCTCGAGATACACTTTTTGGTATATTCCATGGAATGCTCTTAACATCCCGATAGCAATGAATATATTAAGTGCTTTGACAAAAAATCCATTAAAAAATGTCATCTGTTGAAGCCATAGTACTGTAAAAAGCATGACCAATCATTTTAGCCGGGCCGGCTAAAATAACTGGATGGCCTACCTGCCTGTCAGCCTTCCATCTGTGCACAAACTTATCTTGTGCTCTCATTGGTCATGTGCTCGTTCGTGTGTGTTGGAGGAGGGGCTCTGTAAGAAGTGGCAGATTTTTTCCGGTTGTGTATTTTCAAATTCTAGCACACTCGAGCTGGTTTCTCCAAAATTACCTACCCCACCTTTAACACAAAAAGTAAGAAAATGTGTGTTTGGTAGATTGTTTTATTGTAACAATGCTTCTTGGCAATACATCTTATACCGTTGGAAAGCCTGTTTATTTACCTTTCAAATGTTTCCACATTTGTGAGGAACATGCATGTGAGGGATGAGCAGCAGAGCTGAGTATGTGGGTTGTGCTCATGAAAAATGTGACAAATATAGCAAATGTAAGTGTTAAGTTTATGATGGTGAAATATTGGTAATGTAATCCAAATGTATCCCATAGAAAGACAGAAGTCAAACTGGTTACTTCTGCTTGCTCCCATAAACATCCGAAGCGATTACAAAATATAGCCTCATTTAACAGTCAATACAGGACACACAGCTTGAGGTAAAACTGGGTTACACGTCTGCTACAATAGACTGTCTGATGACAACATCTCACATACCAGAGGTCCAGACACCAGAAACCTTATAGTCATCTGCCTCAAGAATAGCCGCAGCCTGGCAGCAACTGCTGCTCCTCTGACCTATAATTGCATGTCATGGGATCATTTCATTCTGTGCTCAGTTTTTATACTTCATCTTCCCTTCACTATAACTTTCCAGAAGAATTCACCTCAAACATGTGATTGTGAGTTATTTTTTCCTTTCCAGTTACCCAGAGCCTACTGTGATCAGTAGTGTGTGTGTGTTTGTGTGTGTGGAGGTGTGTCTGCTGAAGTGGGCTCCCCTCAGGAGAACAGCAGGGTTTTTCTTTAGGTAGAGGATCGAATCACTGATGACAGTCTCATGACCTCTTCCTGTCACATGCACAAACACACGCTCTGTCTGCTGCATTTCTACCACACACACACACACACACACACACACACACACACACACACACACACACACACACACACACACACACACACACACACACACACACACACACACACACACACACACACACACACACACAACAGGTCAGATCAAAGTTGATTCACGAAATGACTTAACTAAAGTTGCTTATTAAACACATGATGCACACTGATTGTATTTTAAATTGTTCTTCAATCAATTACTTTGACATGTGTTTGGGTGTGTTTAGTTTGTTTTGTTTTGGTTTTGACATTTAATTACCTGTATATCATTTTAATTGTAATGTTATCTTTAATTGTATTAATCTTGTGTGAATCTATACCGTCCTGATTTTCGCTCTCTTGCTGCTTAAACTCCTGAATTTCCCCACGGGGATTAATAAAGGTCCATCTTATCTTATCTTATCTTAAATTGACAAATACATCACAATATTTAAAAAATGTCAAAACACTTTTTTGTTGGCAAAACATACAAACACAAGTGAAAAAGTTATGTAACTTGGTTTATTTCAATGTTGTAAGCAATGCAAACTTCTCTACAACCCCTATCCAAAATTACCTATTTCTACCTTCTGTACCTTTAACAGCCTATAAAAGACATAGTCTTGTATCTCTGTATCGTGTTTTAAAACATTACATGTTAAAAGGCTGCAGGTAGGGTGCGCATGCAGCCATCTCTCTCACTTCCAGTAGGTTACAATGAATGGTACTGGCAGCGTGGGTCGGGGAGGTGCGGGGAGGTGCGGGAAGGTGATGTCGTAAAGCTTAGTGTCGTAAACCAGGTGCGGAGAAGGGGAGGTGAAGGGGAGGGAGAAGGAGGAGGGGGAGAGGGGGTGAGAGAGGAGGTGACTCTCCGGCAGCATTTAGACACAACGAAAGGATCATGGCGGATGGCCCCAGGTGTAAGCGCAGAAAGCAGGCGAACCCGAGGAGGAACAACGGTGAGTTAAACTACTTCCAACGCGGGTCTTGTCTTTCGGGGAGACGGTGCAGAGGCTGTTCTGTCTCCCAGTAATTTCAGCGAAAAGTTTGGGACCCCAGAAGTCCGGTTTTTAGTAACTGAAAGTGCTGGGAAGTAGCAAGTGAGCGCTGTATTACAGCCCTATGTGGTGTACCGTTATACCTGGGTCGCGTCTCTCCCTCCGCCTAGCGGTCCGCTGCACTGGAGACCGTTATACGCACCTCACCCTGTTAATAGTGGACCCGCTTTTGTCTGCACTTTATACTTCTTTATTAATTTTAATACACTTTAACCCTCTTTACAGACTCTGCTTTTATTGAATTTGTTGCATTTTGTCGAGTTTTTGAGCCAACCATGAAACTCGGACCTGTTTCTGTGTGAAACAGGCTACCTGATTGTTATTGCGGAGATCGACAGACGGGTTATCTTGAACAGTTTTGGTTAAAAAAACCATCATATTTAGCGGTGATTTTATTGAAAACCATGTTAATATGGTTCATTTTGCTGAAACAGAGGGAGCACAACTGTTTAGTTTGTTCTTTCTTTCTTTTGCTCACTCATAGCAGGTAGCGATAGAACACTGTTGCTGCAATAGAAGGGCTGACAAAACGCAATTCGACGGATTTGATCCTGTCTGCAATGTGCTTCAAATTAAGTCTATATTACCGACGGCATTATATCAACGTTTTAATAGAGAAAAGTGAAGAAATACGTGTTGTTGTGTTGAAACGCGCTTTGGGCAGGTCTCTTTTCTTCGCTGTTGTAGTTATGTGCTGCTCATGTCGTTAAAGTTAAATGCTTTCACACTGGTCTTCGATAGTAAACTAACGACAGAAAGATCAGTAGAAACATGGTGAGGGTAACCGAGGTTCCGGAGAAAGAGGAATATCTCACGCGCTGTTTGTGTGAGCAGGGCGAGCGCAGCCCATATAAGGAGAGCGGATCCTCTCCTGTCGCGCGCTGGGAATCCTGATTCTTGTTCGACCAGGGACGCGAGCGAACCTTTACACTAATTCGTTTTTTTAACGTAATATGTTAGCATTTTCTCTTATTTTAATGCGCCTGTATAGCCTACTAACAATTCGAGTGGATAATGTGTGTTTCGGTATGCGATGACCAACGGTTTTCACCCAGGTTATTGTCGTGAGAAAATAGTTTATATTGTTACAAAGTAACTAACGTGACTCTCTTCAAGGATACCGTTTCTTTTAATAGATTTATCTCCTAGTTTTATCACACATGTGTTTGCTAGTTGCGTTTATTTTTGTTAAAGGGAAAACTAAAGGACTTTTTCGAGTTGTTGTCTGTTTTCCTGCTGCATCTTTCCATGTATTTACGTGGGCTCTTTTGAATCCGTAGAGCGATATTTTACCACGGAATTAGCTTTTTATAACTATTTTATTGAGAAAGCAAGCCTTTTTTGTCGCAGGTTTCACAACATGTGTTGTCTATCAACAAGTCATGTGTTGTGCCACCCAGTGTAGCTCAAAGGAACTGGGGTAACACAGGACATAGCGTTATTTTGTCAAATCAACCCTGTATCATTAGATTCAGGATAACCGTAAAGCCGTTTATTTTTTGTGTCAAAAGCATTCGTTTGGGGAGGAAAAGCGACCAAACGATGTGCGTTATTGCTGTTTTGTGAATTTTCTCTTAATACCTAGTGTGCAGAGTGGCTTTTTATAGGTACTATCGATGTTTTCTACTGTCATCTTGTTTTTTATGGGGTGTGTTCAGCTATGCATTCCCTCCCTGGAGCGTTTGTTCAGTTTAATATGTGCAAAGTGTGGACACACCTTAAATAACGGTCCTGCTGTCTAGGTGTGGATATTCCTCTGCCTTGTGTTATTTGCTCTGGAGAGACTTCAGGATCTCTGTCATTTGTTGCTTTTCCCTTTTACCTTAACAGGGTTATTTTAAATAAAGACACATCTCTTTTGATATTTAAAGTCACATCCTTAACTCAACAGATGTGTTTCCCTGTTACATTGCCTCATTTGCATTTGTATCAAAGAGCCATGCAGGTCTGCTTTTAAGTCCTTACTTCCTACCACCTCCTGACAAGAGAGTGATCTGTCATGTAAATTGTCATCTCAGAAAACGTAACTATTTAAGACCTGTTTTGCATGTTGTCATACACTTGATTTGGTTGTCATTTTATAAGTTTGTTATAGCAAGTTTGTTAAATGCTCTCTGAAGGAGCAAATTACAGCCTAATGGCTACTTTTTCATAATAAAAAAAAAGTTTCTGTAGCCATTGCTTGGGCTATTTTAATGAAGCAAGTCCTAAAGTTGTGCCCGGCTTGTTATAGTCGGTGTCTCTGCCAGGTCCCCGGCGAGCAGGGCGATCTGAGATCAAGGTGAGCCCCATTCCCCGCTGTAAACAGAGAGGTGTTAACAGCCTGCAGGACGACAGGTGTTTGCAATCGGCGGGATACTACAGCTTCCTTTGTCGCTTCTCCCCACTCAGCTCCCCTAAGGAAAAGCAGCCGTTCCCTGCAACGGTAATTTAACACAGCAATTTGGGAATAGAGGAATGCACCCGGTGTTAGCATTCTTTGCAAAAAATAAACAGTGCTGTGCTGGGACAGCTTTGTACCCTTGTTCACGAGCTGATGTTTTAAGAACAGTGGACAAGTAGCTAGGATTTCTATTTATTTAGCTATATCACACGGGCCATTTGTATCATCCCCTAACCTGTCTCCGTGTCTTCCCCCACTCTCTTTTTCTATTTCTGAACACACACTGGCACCTTGATGAATCATCCATCAAATGAAGTAAATGAGTTTGTGGGCTTGGCACTCGGCAACTCATGTAATGTTGAGGAGCATGTTTATTGGCCTGGTAAAACTATACTTAAACTATACTTAGTGCCCTGGACTCCCTCACCCTGTCTAGAAGCTATTGAATACAAGCACATGCTGTAAGTTAGTGGGAGGACAATAAAACATGCTTCAGCTATACTCTACAGTTTGTTAGACGAAACAAGTGGGGCTGTGGTGAAGCTTCGGAGGAGGTGCGGATTGGCTCTGTAGCTCCGCATGCCACTTCGGTTGTTTAAAAGACATCTGTTTACATTTAAGAGGTCCACCCCTGTTGTGTGAAGAGTTGAGCAGAGGAGGACATTTTTCATTTATCTCCCTGCTTTTCACCAACTTCCTCGGCAGCTTCATTTAAAAGTGCCAAGTAAGAAGAAAATCTCCCCGCCTCCGCACTCTCTTTCTATCTCTCTCTCTCCCCTCTCACTCCTCCTTCCAGAGCTTGTCCTTTATTTCGGGGGGTTAAGACACAGTAGCCAGGGGTGCTGTTGATTGCCCCCTGACCTAGGCACCCATGCGTGCCTAGAGTATGACTTCACTTTCCCCCCCTGTGCCATTGTGAGGCTTCCAGCATGTCCAATTGTGTTTGTGTTAAACTCTGTTCAATGAAAAGGGAAGAGAGGAGGAGGAGGAGGGGTTGGAGGATGAGAAGGGGGGGTTGTCGGAGCTGCAGGTTTTTCTCCCTTCTCTCTGTCCATTCCTCCCTGACCCCTTAAACTGTGGGCTCCCATGTTCCCTGTGGAGCCGAGAGGGGGGATGGAGAGAGTTGGTGAGAAGTGTCCGAGGTGACTAAAGAATTTTACAACAGGTGACAACTGAGGGATTGTTGCTGGCAGATGGAAAGCATGACATACAGATATTGGATCTCCTGCGGGAGAGCTAGATTAATGTTTTTCAAATCAGCTGAAGTAAGCTAATTCTAGACCACAAACAGGTAAAAACTTTTCACATGCTTGTTTTTGTATTCATCATCGGAAGGGGAACGTTTCTAAGCTTCACCCCTCAACTTGTCCGTCAGGGTGGGAAAGGGCTGTCCTCAGCTGACCATTGGGCGGAATTAAAATGATGTGATGTACGACCACACTCCCACCTCTGTTAAGGCAGCTTAATGATTAGCTGCTCCCATGGAGGCTGAGAGCATTAGCCTATAAAAAGGTGCTCTCCCTTCGTAAAGAAGGAGTTTTAAACCCAGAGTCAGTTTCAGTAACCCCCTTAACTGCGCTTGGATGTGCTTTATTGGGGTTTGTGTGGCTGAATGCTTAAATGAACCATTGTGTGTTCAGGCTTTAGTGAGAAAGCCTGAGGAGAAAGAGCCTAGTTACCTTTGCAGTTTGCCTGCTCTACCTCATACACTTTCAGTGGCAGAAGAAAAGGCCCATTCAGCGGCCCGGCATGGGGAGGGAGAGCCCTTTTCACACTCCGCTTGTGGGAAACTTCTCCTCCATACTGTGCATGGCATTTGCATATGACCCATTCTTTTCCCAAAGGTCCCCGTGAGGGAGGAATCTGCGGAACGCTCACAGAATTCATCAAATCCCTCTCTCACACGGCCCTCGGGCCCTCAAGAGCCTGCTTTGCAGAACACTATTTGACATTTTTGTCTTGGAAATGTATCGTACGTCTGCGTCATGCTTTAACATTATCGCCGACACATCCCTGTGGCATTTATGTGCCGTGTATTTTTGAATGGCAATGTACTACCCAGTGGGCTATTTTTAATGCCAGGGTGAAGGCTTAATTTGGCACAGCAGGCAGGAGTTTCCCCAAATCCCCCGCATGGGCAATGAGGGGACCATCTGCATGACAGGACAATGTGATGGGGGGCCGCGCGCCTCGGAGGCTCCCTAACTGACGCGGTCATCCACAGATCGCCAGCACTCTCCCTGAATGACACAAATATTGAGCATAGGGGGTATTATAGGGGTGAGGCGCTTGAAGCGACGCGTCGGCTCAGTCAACTGGACATAAACACGACCGTTGCTCCCCCCCCCCCCTCACAAATGCTGCCTTGATGCAACACAACACGTGCAACAGCATCCATACTGACATGCTTGTTGTTGCTGAGTGAGATGTGTTAGTCCGCAACAGCCTTGACCCCAGACACTGATACTGACACGTAAAGTGGTGCAGGCAAGTATTTGTTGCAGTGCATTGTAGGGAG